AGAGGGTGGTCCTCATCCATGGTGTTCCGCAATTGGACGATCTAGATGAATCTAAAAGTCATCAGAACGACCGACGAGAGTGGCGATTCATTCAAAATTTACTTGGGTGTCCCGGTCTTCTGAAAACCTCAATCAGTCGTCTTCCTTGCTCACCAAATTACCATGGCAACGATCCAAGGGGATTGAAATTTACCCTTGGCACTCCAGACATGGCCAACACCGTCTTGCAGTTATGGCGAGAACGAAAGATCAGAGGGCCACCGGAACTACGTGTGAGACCCTTACTCAATCCCGAGCCCCAAACACATTCATATCCCGAGAACCCTACTACTCAATTTAAGAGCCTAATTCCGTCCAGCAACCCGTGGTCCAAAGTACCAGAACTTCACTGTCAAAAAACTAACGGCAGCCGACCGCAAAGAGGTCGGCCAAGATACCACGTCTAATCGAATCGGATTTCTACATTGATAATATTTAAACTGTTGCCACACCAATGCTCAAGGAATCCTCAGCAAATTTCCAGAGCTGAATTTTCGTTTCATATCAGGTCGATGGGATACTGTTGCTGTTACAGAAACATGGCTTGCAGCTGATATTCCGGACTCCGAATTGTCCTTACCAGAAATGTTTCTGCTAAGATGCAATCGTCCTACCCGTGTTGATGGTGTTCTACTTTATTATCGAAAAAATCTTGATTGTGAGCAAATTCATCCCCCAATTTCGACTCCTAACACTTCATGTTGTCGGCTGAGACTATCCAAACACGATGACTGTTTGATCGGTGTCATCTATCGCCCTCCGTCAACCACGGAATCAGCCAATATGACTCTTTTGAACACTATGTTACACATTTTCGCAGAAAGATTTACACATGTTTTGCTAATGGGTGATTTCAACTGTTCCAACCTCGGGAAACCAATGACCTAGCTGAATATTCACACACACACACACCCAAGGGGCGAAGTAAAGCGGTTTCTTGATTTTACTTGAAGCTTCCGGTCAGACAGCTTTGCACCCCAGATTAGGTGCCATCCCTTTTCAATTCAGGCGAAGGACTTTTCAGCTCAAGGAATTTCAGTGACTTGGTGAACTAAAGAACGAACTCATCAATTTATAACATAACTCTCGTGATGTGTTGTTATGGCAACCAAAAACACAAAAGTAATCGAAAATGGACTGGCGATTGTTTTTATATAATGCACACCTCGATTGGTATAGCTGTGCGCACTACCTCACAATGGCATTCGTATTTCTGATTAGCGTTTCAAACAGTAATGAAAATAATTAAGGCCTTTTGAAATTTTCTCAAATTGATTTACTGCCATCTAACATTGTCCATTGTACCGTTGATTATGTCCGTTCCTTATAAGTTATTAGTTTTTAAAACTGAACCCTTTTTTCAGCTACCCGAGGAGTGTAACACTTTAGATACTTAAGCGGATGTGGAAATCATGTAACTCAATTCTTCTGTATACTGATATAAGATGGACATTGAGCAACTTGAAAGCGCATCACCTGTTTTATTTTGTCATCCGATTTCGGATGGAGTTGAACAGCTGTTCTTGCAAAAACAACACAAACTAGAGTTCGATAGTGGAAGAGCCAAATGGAAAACAAGCACCTACCGCCAATATATGGATTTTAACGAACCAATGAAACCAGTTTTAATCGAAGCCGATCACGGGGGTATATGTTGCTGCGTAGTGCGAAACCACTGCCTCTGACAGAATCAATGGCCTACTTTGAAAATCAAAAAAAAACGTTGAAACCAATCTGACCGGCAAACAGCTTGCCAGCTTAGAACGCATCGATTTATGCGTTCGAACAGAACAAATAGGCAGCATGTGTACACGGTAGCACTTCCAGGCTCACTTTCTCTATTCGGGATTTTCGATTGACCACATATTCATCCAGTTTGCCCAAGCCGTGTTCCATTTCCATACCATGCCCCGGACATAGGAGAAAACGTTCTCCTCGTTGACTGGTTTCTTGTTCACAGCGGGATACCAGTTGACGAATGCGATTCAACGAATCCATGTAGATCGGCAAATCGTGCACAGTAGTACTACCGTGACCTGATCGAATGAAACGGAAACGGGGACAAGGAGAAGAACAATCCAAGTAGGATTGTATTGAATGCTGAGGTTGCGCTCTGGGGAAGGAGGCTTGAATGGCCCGATGCGAAGCACACAGAGGGGGCGTCGCTAAGTCCGAGAACCTGACCGATTTTGACTACTACTTGAGAACATATGGGAGAGCTGTGTTCACGCTGTGATGCAGTTCGACTGAATTAATCAAATCACAGGTAGTCATAAAATGCGTAGCTCACGGATATATGCGATCAAATCCAGGAGTGACATTAAATGCATGTAGAGATAGGAGATTGGATGCCTTGCATCTGGTTTTCATATGATGCGTCTGCACATGAACCAAGCGCTAATGGGATCTGTTTAGAAAAATACTGTTCGTACTTTAAACCAGTCCGATATTATCACTATATCACTATCACGACGTACTGCACTCTGATGTGATGGCTTGCGTGCCTCCACGAACCTGCGAGTAATACAGGATGGCTTCTCACAGCCCCAGATCCACCGATCTTAAAGGTCAATTGGTGGTTACCAGACAAAGCTGTCTTATCAAGCCACCTGCTTGAGCACCGCTTGGCTTCCTTTGACTATCCACCTTCACCCACGGGGAGGTCCCACCAGCAAACAGACATGGTGAGGAGCAGTTTACTGGTTAAAAAACTGCTGGATGAGCATAGGAACGGGGTACCTGGGGCCTCCGGGAGGATAGGCTGTATCCGACAGTTTTCAAGGATAGAGATTCAGCGAGGGCTCGAAGGCAACGAAACTCCTGGGTTCAGTGTGGGAGAGAGAACAGGTCTCAACTGGATGGTGTAAATCGGTAATCATACTGATTTACAAAAAATGCGACAGGTCCTCTTGTGAAAACCACAGAGGAATCAGTTTATTCAACATCGTCTTTAAACTGCTCGCTGATATTATACTCCGTCGATTGTCTGCGGCACGTGAATAGTGCACACAAGAGAACCAGGCGGGTTTTAATCCTGGTCGAGGTTGTATAGACCACATTTTCAATCTTTGCCAAATTCTAGAACCAAGATACTCCTTCCGTGGACCCACAATTTCTATCTTCCTCGATCTGAAAGCAGCTTTCGACTAAGTTAACCACCATATACTCTGACGCTATCTCTCTCTGAAGGGTTTAGGCAAGAAATTTATTTCAATTTTGAGATCCCTTTGTATTAATAGCCGAAACTGAGTCTGAGCTTACGGTACGTTTTCGCCCGAGTTCATCACAGAACATGGTGTTAGTCAGGATTATCCCCTCTCTCTCAGATTATGGCACCAGCACTGTCATCGTGGGAGTATGGTTACATCGATTTGCTCGCACGAGGTGGACTGTCTGATATGGAGTATGCCGACGACATTGTACTACTAACTGAATATTCACTTAATCTGCAAGCGTTTCTGGATAGTTTAAGTGCTGGTGCAGCCATGTTAGGTATGCTTTCCACACCTCCAATGTGTAAAATGTTGTTACAAGATTGGGTTGACTCATTCCCAAACCTCACTCTAAATGGGAAAGTTATAGTAGAAGTAGACAAATTCTATTATCTTTACAGTTTTATCCCACCTGGCAGACTCATGATCGATGGAATTTCGGTACGTATAGGAAAGTTCGATTGGCATTTGCTAACCTAAGACATCTGAAGAACAGTAGCGAAATCCGGTTGTTTTCTCTTCTGTTCTTTCACCAAAATGGATAGCCAAAAGATAGCAACCAAAAAGACAGTTGTAACGGTTGTAAAAAGTGAAACTGAAACCACTTTATGATCACAACGGGGTATGCAGTATGGCTCAATGTTTTAACACCTGCTCCGATGGTTCGACTGTGAACGATGTTTTTATATGGTATGTTTTCCGGACCCGCCTAGAAAAATAGTGTCTGTATCTTAGACCGGTCAAGTTGTGGCACATCGTCATCATTGCATAAACATTTCCTATTCCGAATTGCCTGGATTGTGCATCACTCCATCACTGATACTCTTGTGATGAGTCTCTGCAACGCCTAAGCAGCATAGGATTCACAATATCGATCGATTTCATTCATTGATAGGACGGATGGTTCAGCTTCAACAACGGACGTGATACTTGCCCAGCTAACTCGGGCGAGAACCCGCACCTTGGAGTTTTTAGCATGCCCTGTGAACCTCGACTGTGCACAGCAGGAGTACTGTTACCACATGATGAGCTACAGGTAATAAAAAGAACATCACAAATATTACGTACTGGGGATAAGAAAGTCTCGCATCAAGTTGAGGGACTTCAAGTTGCGCTAATCGTCGAAAGTGATCCAATCAAATCACCCAGAGGGTTAGAGGGAATTTAATTGTTTGCGATTACCGATGAGTGGGACAAGACGATACGAAACGATGGAGAAATCGCACTGTAGATCGATTACAGTATTCGGATGTCTCCTACAGAGTGTGCCAGAGAATATGATGTTTGAAAACCAGATTCAGGTGCCGTAATTTCTAATTCATTTCCTTCCTATCCACAAAAACTTAACACGACGGGATGAAGTGGAGAGTTCACACATTCGTTTAGGCAGTATCCGTCAGAACTGACTGACCGTCCCTCAACACTACGGAACAAACTTAACTACTCATACGATTACACAAATGAAACCCTTTGTGAGGAAGATGTAAAGCTCAGTTACAGCAACGGTCAACTAGGACGTGAAACTTGGAATGGCGAACTGTATAAGGTCTTGCCCGATAGGGTAGATCGTGAAAGAGATCTCGTTCCCACTGTACGAAGTGCTTCCAAGGAGTACATCGCTTAAAACATCCAATTAAGAAATCGAACTCTGCTTTCCTATGGCTAAAAGGAGATTTCCGAAAATAAAATAGGATTGAAGGGCAACACACGGCTAGTTAATCTATGTGCGCTGGTAACACTTGATTTTAAATCTCTCAAGAAGAGAACTGAGCGGCTCCAAAACAACATTGTCGTGATGATCGCTACCTCGACTGGGCAGTATAGTATAATGAACCCTCTGGACGCCTCGATCCTGCTCCGAACTAAGATCCAATTTCGAGCTTGGTAACCTTTTGTATTTGTCACGTGTCCCGAACGGAACAATCCAAGCAACCACCCGTGTGATACGACTTGGTCGGAGGTGTGTGCGGGGGTTGATAGCCCCAGCGGATGAACGGATTCAAGTCTACCAATTAATTTGTACTCTGTTTGCAATGGTGTTACTCAGATAAGAAGTGTTTGCAGAGAACCGTAGGCGGTCATTTGGATTGGAAGAGACCGGGGTAAAGTAAACACAGACACTGCGAAGAATAATAGAAGATAAAACATATCATTGGAATGAATGAGATTTACTTATAATCTTTATGATCATTTAATTTTGAAAAAGCGCAACAGACTATGAGCTCCTAATTTATACCCGTTCGCTTGCTTTCTCGCTGGTGGCTGATTGCTGGTGCGTACAATGTTTCTACTAAATTTGATATCTCACTGAAAAGAAAAGTTAGGGTCATTTCGAAATAACTAAGTGCGCACGTTAAAATCCAACTTCAATCATCCTCGCCAAATCTTACGATATGAAAATCTTATAGAACTGATTTCCCGGAGAAAAAATTCAAAAGAAGGGGTGGATCATGGGGGCATAGGATTCCAGCGATTTGGAACTTCACATTTGGAATTAATTCTTGATTTTTTTTCAAATTTAAACCAAGAATATTTCATAGGGTTATACAATTATTATACTTTGCATGCACTTTTAACTACATTTATTCCGTCCTGCAAATATTGCTTGATTCGTCGTTTCAGCGTTATATATACATATACTTCATAACAAGTAGTGTGAATGACTCGTCAAAATTTTCCTGGAAGCACACGATCGTTTTCCCTGTTCTTGCCGCTAGTCATGCGTGCGTATCCGGCAATCTTTTGTCAGTTCAATCACATACTTCTACCCAGGAAGTGCATTTTCGGCCGTGTGCTTCCAGGGAAATTTTGTCCAGTCATTCACATACTACTTATTATGAAATATTCTATAAAAAAGCTATTTTTTGATTAACAGAATCTAACCGACCTAAGAAAACATCGAATCATAGTATTGATTCTTCAATGGACTGACTCTGAAAGAGCTGTCTATCTAAAAATCTCGCGGTGTTGCAAACAAGTTTATTGTGAAGAAAATATATATTGGTGCCAAGCAAATCACGATGAAATAATATTCATAAGAGAAAAGTTCCATGATTTGTGGGCAGAATACTGTTAGGTCTGTTACTGTTACTGTTAGGTTAGGCAGTTCGATTTATGCATGCAGAGTCACTGGTTGACGGCACCCTGATCGCTAGAGTGGCCACATAAATTTACGAAATAAGCAATCACTACTCAACAGTTCAGTTCTGTGAAATGATACTGGAGCCCACGCTAAGTTGCAATGTTCTGCTATTTCTTTTCCTGCCTCGCCAGAGGTTATAGCGAAACTGGGAAGGAATATGTTCATATGTTCCATGGCGTTGAAATAATGATATAGAAATCGCAAGAATACAATCAGGGGTTATAAATGAGCAAAAAGAACGAGCTGTACTCACCCAGAATCAGGTCACCAGTGAACAGATGTACGGATCGATCATATGCTTCCAGGATTAAACAAATATGATCGTCGGTGTGNGAAGTGATGAACAGCTTCCGGAGTTCGTATGCTGCACATTAATCACTGAGTCTGCACTCAAGTCGATCAGGGGACCTTCGAAGTAGCGGAGCTCCTTCAAACTGGGACCACCTGGATATTTATACACTGGGATTTGGGCACTGGATGCTTCAGGATTTATTCGATGTGAAAGATCCTACAGAACACGGAAGAGATGTNTTTTTTTATTACACGCTTTAGTGTGATGAACAGCAGACGGGGTAAATCCCATAGTCAAGGCCTAGAACCGCAGACCACAGGGTCCAAGGCACGATGGTGACAGCCACCATTACGGAATCCGATTGGAATGGATGAGTGCGAACATAGATAC